TAAAGATAAAGCTCGGCATGGGGATGCCTTTCGTGACCAGGCTCCCCAGATCTAGTGCTCCTATGATTCGGCCTTATATAATTTTCAGTCCAATTATATCACGACCTAGCGACTTCCTTATTAACTATTCGAGAGGCCAATATCAGAATAATTAGATCTAATCGATAGATCAGATCAAATAGAATTCATATTATGACTTAGATCTCCAATAATAATAAGAAGATAAATAAGACCTAATTTCCAAGCTCTTCTTAAAAAAAGAGATTATGATTCTCGCCAATCAATCTCCTTGGAAGAAATTAGACGTGGCTTTCAGATTGACTTGCCATCGCCTCAATATCTATTATATAATTCCATATATTTATAGATTTCGTGCCTCGAAATTTTGCCCTATCCTTATAGATTCATTCCATGCTAAATTAGTCGATTCTAGAAGGGCGTAGCCGCCTTCCCTAATGAATAGCGACGTTTCCCCAACATGCTAGCGGCGGAATTTCCGACTCCAATAGATACTAAATATATAAAGCTATTCGTTTCTTCCGACAGTACCTCTCAAACCGATCCAATCAATATATCGAATCGACCTCCGGTATCATTAATTAAATAGCGGCAAGTGGTTAGGGGCGACTCGCTCAAATTGCCAAAAAATTATGCAAAATACTAGCACGAATAAGAATTCAAATTCCTTCCAGAGCGCCGGGCGACGATACGAGCGCGGGGTATATATAATCGAGGGCAATATCATGAAATCGAATATTACTTCTTAAAGATGATTTTACTAAAGCGATTTATTATTTCGAGCTCCCAATTCACGAGCAGAATATTATAAAGAAATTTTCTTATCTGCTCATTTCGATATCAATTATTTATAGAGCTCGGCCGACCGGACCCAAATAGAGAAAGAAATATGAATTTCGATTTATTTCTTCGAAATTTCCAAATTAAATTATCAAGAAATAAATATCGAAATTATAGATTCCAATCAATACTAGAGTGGATTCGCTACTTCCAGCAGCGGGGTAAGGCGGCGGCATGATCTTTTAGATATTCAGCAGCACTCAATATCATAGGACTTCGTGGGAAACAATATTCTGAGTGAATACGACTTGAATATGGGCATCGGCACATCATACGGGAAGCCTTGGCCTTCGCCCACTTCCAATAACCTACGCATACTATTAGAATCGCGGACTCGTGAAAGAGTCGCATATAGCTCCCCGTGCATAAAGATAGGCCATACGAGATATAGACCCCGCTGTATAATATATATCTTTATATTTTATTAATAATTATAAGAATTATCTCTCCAAGACGCAATTATAAGACGACCGGTAATAAGTCGATAAAGTCCATACTATCCAAATAAATCTTAAATCGATTTTTTTTGGCTAAAATATTACAAATTAATCCCAAGAATTTCATTTAGATATATTCAGAATATTCGATTCTAATCGCCGGATATATTTTTTATATATATAAAAGAAAAATAGAAAGAAAGATATAGAATAAGAGAGATAAATATAGAAATAGAGATAAATAAAATAATTCCAAGTAAATCTAAATAAATAAAGAATCGAATAAATAGAAAAAACTATTAAAAGACCCATAGAAATAATTAAAGAATGCAGTTAATTAAAAACCAACAGAGATAAAGAAAAATAAATAGAGACAGAAACTCAGATAGAGACGCAGATAGAGACACAAACAGAGATACGGACAGAACCACACAAACAGAGACACAGAAGAGATATAGATAGAGACATAGACAGAGACATAGATATAGACAGAGACACAGACAGAGATACGGACAGAGACACAGACAGAGACACACAGACATAGAGACAGACATAGAGACAGACAGAGACAGGCAGAGACAGACAAACAGAGACAGATGGAGATAGACAACAGACAGACCCACAGACAAACGAACCGAGAGACGCACAGAGAGACGCGCAAAGAGACGTAAAGAGAGACGTACAGAGAGACCGCGGAGAGACGCGCTGAGAAACGCACGGAGAGACGCTCTGTGCCTGCACCAAAACCTCCGAGATTTTATTACCGGGAGAATGTGACCCTAACACTACCAAAATTTAGAAGATTTTAAGACCGCGAGATTTAAATCTCCGAGATTTTAGAGCGGGGAGAGAAGTGCTCGCGGTATAAAAATTTCCAAGATTTTAGTAGCTCGAGACAAGCATGCAAGAGATTTCACGAAGAGATGACACAAACGATCGCATTCCAGGGGAGGCCAGGGTGCGCACAAAAACATGGACGCAAGCGGGCACGACACCGTTTTATTAGAGAAGATTCATTTCAATTCCTAATTAAGATCTAACAGAATTTAATAAAAATCGTTACAGAAGAAATAAAATATTATTATATATCTACTTTAATTCTACATTTAACGAATAATTTCTTTTTTTTCGATAAATTCTTTCGATCACGCACTAATCGATACCCTTCAAATATCAAAATACGAGAGTTCCGGTAGATAATATGATGCTAGATATTTGTCCTTAGATCAGAATAGATAGCGCTCCTTTCAAATTCTGTATTCAAAATCACGACGATTCGTATATCAATTCGATTTTATTAATTCTATTACCAACCAACCTCTTTAAGCAATTATATCACTTTCGACTCTAGAAACCAGAAATCGAATCTTTTTAAGATTCTGAAGATATCAGGCTCCAGGGTTAGCACTGACGCCCATGTTCAAACGCAGGACTTAATCGGCCTTTTTACCACATAATGTGTTCATGCGCCATATCAGTTCTACTATACATGTGCTGACTTCTGTCGAGAATGGCTTGCACTGTGAAGTCTGGCTTTGCCGAGAATGGCTTGCATTGTGAAGTCTGGCTTCTGCCGAAAATGGCCTAGCCGCAACGTATTCAGCTTTACCGCACGCATTGACAATTGACATGAAAAACAACAGTTAGCAGCACCACAACTCTACACTCCTCCTTGATCACTTCCCTCGGATAGTGAGCAACCTTACAAGAGGAAAGGGTGCTAAGACTATTTGACTAGGCGGACTTCCAGCGTTGAATCCATCTTGAAATCTCAGATCTTGTAGCTATATCATGCCATCCCAGAATCACTCTTCCAGAAAGCGACTTGGTCCGCCATAGCCAAAGAACATATTTCAACTGCTTCGTGCTTAGCTGGGAACTTCCAGCTCTTGACTCGTTGATTCCAAGCACCGGAATCAACCTCGCGATCTGATCATTCTTCAAGCCCGACACTGGTAGTCCCACACATCGAAGTGCTTCTCTCAAGCCTTCTATAATTATTAACGACAAAGTGTCCATAATAACTCGTTCCCGCTCTTGCGGGAGATGACATTCTTCCTCATCCGGGATCCCAGGACTCGTGAAGGGAGAAACCTGGGTTCTAGTAGGCGGCGTTCGAGGCTCCGGCATAGTCTCCTCCTGAGTAGAGAACCTCGTTGATCTGTGTCTCGACGCGGAAGCCGAACTTGAACTTGGAGCCACGTTTAGTGGCTCCCTGTTGCGTTACGTAGCTTCTTCAATCTCCTTGCGCGCCACTTCCGCGGCAACTCTTTCCATATTCTGTAACTTCATCGCATTCTTAGCACTCTTGTACTGCTTCCATGCGAACCTTACAACATGCTTCATGAGCTCCCAGAAAGAAATTGCACTTATACAGATAAGCAAGTCCACCACAACCAGCTCATCCCATCCTGATACTTGGATCGCCTCTTTGTCCGGATTATCCACCACGCGTCCATCAGCTGGCCTAGCCATAGAAACCAGCATCACCACAAATACCATCATCTTCCCCTTGAGGGCATGGATTGCCTTGGTTATCCTTCCACCAACGAAACATCATAACCCGAGCAGTTTCCAGAGCCTTTCTTTCGTGACCAACTTTGTCGCCAAATCAGCCAGCTGCTCTTCACCTGGCGTGTGGCGAACCACCAGCTGGCCTGAGGCCACTGCCTCTCGAATACAACTCGCACTGACTTTTAGGTGTCGGGTACGTTGGCTTCCCGGCCCCCCGGCGCACATTGCAACTGCACTCGAGTTGTCTATGGCCAGGACCTGATCAAATGGGTCGACTCAATCTCCCGCAAAATGGCCGCGACAGACTGTAGTAGCATATATCCCTGAACAGCCGCGTAAAGTTCTGATTCCATCGTGCTCATCATTACGAAGCTCTGCTTCCCGGCCTTCCACGAGACCGGCGCGCTCCCATAGACCACAACGGCTGCCCCGTAGCTCCGAGAGGAGCGAAGCTAGCGTCAGTGAAGCAAGTCATCTGTAGCGACTCCTTTTGTTGAGGAGGGACTAACTTCAACTCCAAATCAGTAGTGCCTGCCAAATAGGAGAGAAGCCTTTCCCCCATCCGGATAACTTGCAAAAGCTTCTTGGCCACATTAGACGCCATAGCATTCACTGAGTAGAGGATGTCCGGCCGCGTCTTTGTGGCCAACCACAAAGCTTCGCCTATGTAGCGCTGGCCCAGCTTCAAGTCTCCATCAGTAAACGGCAACTCCTCGTCTTCGTCCAGCTCCACCGATTCCAGCCACTCGCGAGGAACCGGTAGCTGTGTGTGTGCAGTGTCTTGCATGTTGTGTGCGCGCAAGAGTTCCGTTATATATGCTTGTTGGCTGATGCTGAATATTTTGCTGCCGGGGTCCTGCTTGATCTCCACGCCCAAGTAGCGTACCTCATGTTCAGCGTCCACCTACTCCAGATTGACATAGGCCACAAGGAAAGAATCTGCTTGTGAAGCTCCTCCACTACAGCTCGTTCTGCTAGATATATCAAATCATCCATATAAACCACCAACAAGCCCCACAATTCGTTCGACTCCTCGTCTCTCAGTAGCCAGAGCTCCGATTCTGAGGTCGCCTGCCTCAGACCCAATCGCCGGTCCGTGTAGACCACCTTGATTTGACGGAGTTTCATGCTGCGGAACTCAGACCAAATCATCGGGCTTTCTCTTAGCCCATATAGTGGCCGTTGCACCATCTATAGTTCCCCACCGAAGTCGCCGCTTTCATGTATGACCTTGGGCTGCATGAGAGCGTACTTGGGCATCTCTGTTGGCCACTCTGCGAGTAGAAAGGCTGACGTGATGTCAGCTATCGCCGCTAACCATAGCCTGGAAGATGCCACAGTCAAAACCAGACGCAGGGCGTCTGTACTTGTTCCGGCCGCGTATAGGCTCGCCTGATCTTCTCCGTCGTTGCGGGTGATAAAATTCCCGCATATAACCATCCGGCACTTGCGCCGGCATTTGCCTCCGGCAATATTCGGAGGCTTCAACATGAAAATACACTTCGCTGGCACGATCTTTAGGGATCCCTGAGCCTCAAGCGTCTTCGCCTCGGCATAGGGAATCTTGACCAGTGCGCCTGAGTCAAAGAATGCTTTAACCTCCTTCTCGATGGCTCCGGTCCACTTGTGAAGAACCCGCTTCACCTGGGCCAACGGCACCGTATGAACAATATCCAAATCACCCTCGAGCTCGTCCAACAGCTTCTCATAATCGATGTCCGAGGCTCCCTCTTCGGCCGTCCTCGCCGATCTCAGAATATCCCTTTCTCGAAGGCATTGGAACTGTATAAGCTGTTTGTGCACGTCGTCCAGGTACTTGCACACGTAGTCCCTGGCATCTCCAAGCTCATCCCGAACCGTTTGTCCCAACCGGGCTGCTTGCTCTGCCATAATCTCCTCCTCCTCAAGTAGATCCCGTAGGCGAGCAGCTCGGTCTTCCAAATCCTGAATCGCCGCATCGAGGTCCGCATTGACGTAGTCTATCCGTTCGGCATCGGCAGCGTTGTCGGTGTCGGTCTTCTCCTTCTCCTTGTAGCTCGCTTGGGCCTTATTCATCATCATTATAGCCAATCTGCAAACTTCACCTTGATCGGCTCCTTCTGATGCCCGGTGAGAGTCCCAATCAAACCCGACCTCAGTGAGGCAATCCATCATTTCTGGGTTCAATTTGGCACTATCTCTAATTGAATACCCCTCCAACATCAAACTTGCTCCCTTCGTGCACGGCGTAGTATAGTGTCTGTCATGAGGGTCAAAGAACTGCGGATCCTCGTTCACCTTCAGGGTTGTACTCGAACCATCCTTTTCAACGATCATATCACAGCCCTCGAAGTCCGTAAGCGGCATCACAACATTGACACCAACGTTATGGGCATCCTTGTGGGGCTCCGCCTGATTCCCTTGAACACCGCCACGCTGTTGAACTTGAAACCCGGGCACTTGTTGTGAATATAGTTCGTGAATACCTTGGTTACAAGCGGATACCTCCGAGCATTCTTGAGTACTCCCACCACGCCGCCATGAACGAAAGCTCCAGACACCCAAACAGCTTCATCATCATCTTGTACCCCAAAACGTTTAGGCTTCTTGCCATCCAAGGGTAGGAGCCTGGCAAGGGACTCCACTAGGTCACGGTCAACGCGACCTTCCCTCAACACTGCACGCGCAAACCCCTCGATGGGGTCGTTGGGATCATATTCAGCTGCTCCTTGGGATTCTCCTCCATCATCTTGTGGTGGTAGTTGTTATGGTACCCCTTCAAAATCCCCAGGATCCAACATTGATTTCCTCCTCAACCTTCTCGAGGGCACCGATACCAAGGCATAATGATCTTCCAACTCAATTTCTCGATCTGCGTCAAACAGCCCTGGCCTCATATGCGACGTTGTAATGAAGTTGCCCTTGTCCATCATAATCACACTTCCTTCATTGACATCCGCACTTGGGCCCACATAGTAGCCCGTTCCCCATCTGCTCTCCAGATCATATCGGCCCCCGGCTCCATAGACCTTCCTCTTCCCATGCACCCGGGTGCCGAACGGGACCAACTCCTTATCTGGGTAGAGCTGCTTCTGCATCTGAATCCACATTGCATATCGCAAACCACCGGCCGCAACCTTGGAGCAAAGTTAGCAGCAGTTAATAGCCTCTTCGTCTGGGTTTTGGCATACTTCACCGCCGCCTCCGCCCTGCCATTTGCTTGTGGGCTCTGACCTTCAGTGTACGTAGTGTACGTGCCACGTGAAGCCAACCATCTCTTCAAAGGATCACTCCTCAGCTCCCTGGCCCTGTCACTCTATACACGCAGTATTGGACAGCCATGGGCTCGAAGTCTCAAGTAGAGATCTTGTATCGCCGCCAAGACATCCTTTGTTGTTCTGCTCCTCAACGGACTCATCACATAGATCCCCTTGTAGCCCTCCACGCCGCCAACTTGGGAAAAAATCTCCTGAAACTCTTCACTTGACATCCCCTTCGGCAGTCGTAGCTCCTCCTCAGCTGAAGGCCTTTCCACATCCCCAACTTCAAAGAGCTCACCACCCTGCCATTCACGCAAAAGACCAACTCCATGACCCGAATCTTCCACAACCTCCGGCTCAAAATCCCCACCATGAATCGGTACGCCACTGTCACTGAGGCCACAGCCATCTGGTAAAAGACCCCCATCTCGTACCTCATCTGTCTGGGGACCCCCCATCTCGTACTTCATCTGTGTGCGGACCCCCATCTCGTACTTCATCTGTGTGTGGACCCCCATCTCGTACTTCATTTGCATGTGGACCCCCATCTCGTACTTCATCTTGAATCTTCGGAAGCACATAGGCGCCCACCAAGGCAAACCGGTAATCTGCATGGTCCGGATCTGCACCTATTTTCCGAAAAGGACCGCAAACGTCTAGGCTCAGACAATAACTCGATGGCGTTTTCACCCTCACATGTCGTCTCCCAGTACCGCTGGATTCTACGCCCGTTTTGCACTTCTTGTTGTAAGGGATGTGGTTGTTCCACAAATGAATTCTCCATTGCTCCAGCTCGTTATTAGACAAGGACTCCAAGAAAGACCCAGCGTCCATCCTTGCCATCCACTTAGCTCGCTGTCTAGACTCAGGAGTCCACAACCATTTGTTGATCGCCTTAACCGTTTCCTCCTTGAACTCCGTTATCCATCTCCCAGATCTTGATGATGTAGTCATAGTGGTAGGCTCGTAGTCCAAATTGGAGACCAAGGCTTCGTACTGACAGTCAACTCATATCGCCTCCAAGTAGCGCGGCCAAGCCCTTTGGAGCCCAGTAGGCTTCTTGAGTGGCAATGGTGTTCATATAGTTCATGATCTTCGCACCCTCAATCATCACGAAAGGAGGTGAAGCTCCACGAGCAACCCGAGCCGCCTTGGCTATAAGGGAGCACCACATGGTTTTCGCCAGTAGCTCTTCATCTGCCTTGGTCCGCATCGGTGGAGAAGGCAAGATCCCTGGATCCTCCCCGTCACGAGACAGCTCTATACGCTCCCATGGCCCTCTTAAAATCAAAAGCCTTAGACCGCAGAATATCAATCTCCACCAACCAATACCGCTCCATCCTCAAGGATCTTGAACTCGGACGTGCCCTCAACACCTCCCGCAAAGAGATTGAGCAACCATGTCGAGCTCATCAATTGCTTGCGCTTCCTCCTTGAGATAAGCAATACCTTCAAGTAGTTCCATCCCGCCTTGTCCGTCAACGAAACTTCTTCGGCAAGGGAGCCCTTCAAAGCAGGCTCCAAGTCCACAAAGAGTGAATCCTTCGCCTCCATTGCAAGCAAGTGAGCTGACCTTATCCCATCGTCTAGGAAAATTTCAAGATGGCGCGACCAACAGCACCCATAGTCCCATATCCACAACGACCGTTGTATAGCCGCCGTAGACCGCTGCAAATCATCAACACGCTTCTCCTCGAGCTCGCGTATCAACTCAAGCGCCTGCACTTCCCCGATGAGGGGACATGGGCCAACCACTTTAGGACGAATCGTTCCGTGCACTAAGTGCTTGATTTCAAGGCCGCGACGTCCTCCCCAGGTAAGCTCACAATTGAGGTCCTAAACCAATGACCCAAGCGAGACGATTGGTGAAATCAAATCATCAGGTGAAGCTTTCCTTGCCAGGAGCGTGCCCGTGGGACTCTGAGCCAGTGCCTGCCTTCTCCATTGGCCAACTGCACCCGCACCATGGTAGCTGCATTAATCTCCTCCTCGGTTCCCGGTCTGTATAAATGAGAAGCCCCTAAATCCAGAAGCCCCGTTCTGCCGTATTCTGGGTCCATTCCCAGGGCCTTAACACTTGCCGTGACATCATGAACCCTCAGCATCCGAAGCTGCCTCATCTCCTTCATAAAGCAGAAACGGCCACAGATGTTATAAGATTCGTTGGGTTCGTAGGGCTAGGATGAGCATCCTCTGGTACGATCGCAACTAGAGACGGGGCCATCGTGAACCCTCAGACTTAAATGTCGTAGATCTCGTAGGGCTTCGTCCTCCAAGCTATCTTTCCTTTGTTGGGCATGAATTGGACACATATAGCTTGCTCCCGCATGTCCAACACCGTCCTTGCTTTTGCTTGCGGTCCACCTCGTGGCTGTACTTGTAACTTGTCCCTCTTCGGCAGCCTTAATCAATCAAGAAAAACTTGCAAGGTGCACCCTTAGCCTTCGAGGTGACCCCTCTATCCCACCATCATTACCACTCGTAGCCGCCGCCGAAACCATCGTAGGTTACCGTCTTCAAGGCCGGAGTTGTAGTTGGCTTAGCCCGTCCACGGAAGGCCACTTGCTCGAACTCGGAGAGGAGGGCTTGGTGCAAGTCTTCCACGGCCTTCTGGGTAGGCTTCACGTCCATTTCCAAAGTATACCTCATCATATTGATACAAAATAGAATCTCATTATTCTCATGAAGGATTCGTCTCATCATCCCATCCAGGCCCCTAAGTAATGTACTCGGGTCAGGGCTCTGAAATCCTACATCACCGGCACGGCGCAACCATCTGGCCCACCTTCTCAAAGCATCTACGGCTTCAACTGCTGTGTTCGCCACAGCCGGGAGCTCCAACGCCTTCAAAATCTGCTGCCTCTCTGCAGTGCTCCCCGGGCGGTAGAGGACCAGGACCCTCCCGAGAACCGGTAGCGCCCCCGTTAGCCTCGAAACCAGAATCTCGGTCCTCACTGACTCTATAGTAGGCTCGCCAGCAGCATACTCGTTCCTTCACAGTGGCATTCGCAAAGGCCTCGGGCTTTAAGGACAACTTGTTCAAATTCGAGCTCTTGAGGTACGCCGCATAGAACCGGTCCAGACACAAAAGCACCTCCTACCACCAGGCCGCCGAGGAGTTGCTGAGGTCACCCATGGAACACTCCAAGGCATAAAGCCAATCACCCACGTCGATACAAGATGTTTCCGAAAGCTCTGGTAGTCGAGCAAGTTCGGAGATGCCGGGCTTCACTTGTTCGGGCTCACTGCTCTTGTTGCTGATCGATGTTGCCATAGCAGTCTGCAGCTGAGCCATTCCCCTTGCCAACATATCAAGAGGGTCGATTGTTTGTCTCGATGGTAGCGGAGCCGTCGTTGAGGTTGTAGTTCCTGTTGCTGTAGCGCCTGCATTTGGCCCACCTTGAGGTACACCCTGAGAGGCAGACGTCGTCGTAGCAGCTGTTCCACTCGCAACCACACCTCCTGCAACTCGAGCAGGCTCACCCCCTGCTCCGAGGTCTGTTGCCACCATTGGTAGCCAATCCAACACCACTCATAACAGTCGCCTGCTGAGCGCTAACATCATTCTGAAGATTCACTCCCACAGATTGATGCCCAGGTTGTACACTGCGACTCCCTTGTGCGGCAGCTGGATCACCCCCACGACGAAGTTCAGGCCCGTGGTAGCCGCCTTGATCTCCTGCTCGGGCCTCTCCCAAGCCTGGAGGAGGAACCATCATCCCTTCACCTTCACAAATTCCCCCATCATTGCCCCCAACTCCATGAGGGCCCCGTGAAAGTCCAGCCAGAACTTCCCCGCGAGCATCAGAACCATACTAATCTCCACCTCCAAGGGGTCTTACTGGATTGCCTTCTCGTAGGGATGGAAGAATCGTGGGCTGTAGCATGTACGTTCCATCGTTCTGGGCCACAAACGCCCTCAACTGTCCTCAAATTTGCCATCTCGGCCTGATGAGGCTGCATTGCCATTTGAACCTGTCGCCGAACTTCAGCCAACACCTGTTCCTGCGTCAAGGATCCCGAAGAGGACTCTGCGTCCCGACCTTGACCTCCAACTCCAGTCCCATAAAGCAAAGGAGCTTGCTGAGGCCACTGCTGCATAGTCCTTTCTGCTTCCTGACCAAACAAAGGCAACTGTGGGACTCGCGGCGACGCAGATGCCCAGCTCGAAGGAGGCGGTAAGGGACCTCAGAGGTCCGCGAGCCGGTCTCTCCAAGACTGGTGCCACCGCCGCGGTAGCTTGGTTGATCCGCCTCTAGAAGAACTCCCCCGAGGTAGATCACCTTGCCTTCCTTGGTCCACTTGCGGAGTATCTGCAGGTGCCGAAGACATATTCGGTTCTGGAGTCTGCTGAGGCTGCTGCGGATGTTGCTCTGTTATTGCCTGTGCACTGTGCGCCGTTTGTACATTGTGCACGTATTCATCAGCAGCCTGTCCAGTGACAGTCATGTTCCCAGCAGCGACAGAAACTTCTGAAACCGCCGACCCATAACCCACTGTACTCGAAACTCCCTGAACTGGGCCATTCAAAAGCGGCTGTCCTGGCACGTCCACTGGATGTGCCGCTTCGTACTGAGGCCCATTCAGCTCACCTTCTAACGTCCTCGGAGCTTGGGAACTCATAACCTGAAGATATCAGGCTCCAGGGTTGGCACCGACGCCCATGTTCAAACGCAGGACTTAATCGGCCTTTTTACCACAGAACGTGTTCAAGCGCCATATCAGTTCTACTGTACATGTGCTGGCTTCTGTCGAGAATGGCTTGCACTGTGAAGTCTGGCTTTGCCGAGAATGGCTTGCATTGTGAAGTCTGGCTTCTGCCGAGAATGGCCTAGCCACAACGTGTTCAGCCTACGACTGAGCCTTTACCGCACGCATTGACAATTGACATGAAAAACAACAGCCAGCAGCACCACAACTCTACAGATTCATAATATAAATCCCCTCCGAATGACTAGATCTCAATATCATTATAAATAAGATCTTTCGAATCACTAGAAAAAACTAATAAAATAACTTTATCAATCATATCAAGAGATTGTTCTCCTAGATCCATATAAGACGCCCAATAAATAAGACCTCTGAAAGCGGCGGACCGCGTCTACCCAAACATCGGAAAGATTCGAGCGAGAGAAAGGCAGAGAGAGCGAGAGAGAGCGCCAAAAAGAAAAAACTAGAGTTGAACCATAATTCTAGGCTTCTCCTGAGCTGCCTAATGGTGAATGCATGTCTCTTTATAAACAATATTCTCTATATCATCGATTACGAAATTTAGTGAGTCAGATTAATAGATTATATTTATATTCTATCATAATCGAATTCAAACATATCGAAATATAAAGCGATTCTCTCTCTCTCTCTATATATATATAGCTAGACTTTCATAATACATATTTCCAGTCGAAACCAAAATTCATAAACTAAAATCATAGTATGTCTTTCCAATTGATACCTATACGAGCCAAATCTTGGCAACACCAGGTTAAAATTCGAAAGTCCCTGGGGCTTGAGTGCAGTCAGCCAGCCGAAACATCTGTGATGCGGAACCCAAGATGAGTCACTTCATCTTTTGCGATGTGCCAAGATCCCAGGCCATGTTAGTGAGGTTCCACATCCTATGGTTGAAGAACTGCCTGCCAGGTCGGCTTCAGTACTTTGAGCATCTCTCAAGAACGCAAGTGGTGTGCCTTCGTGCAGACCCTCCTCATCCATGTGGAGATGCACCTTGGCAGGGGCATGGTGCCACGGAAACAAGGGGGTCTGTGCAGCGGACGGTGCAGGGCCTTTGCAAGATAACCGGTTTAATCCGATGTTCATTGCAGTGTGAGAGCAACGTCACGCAGAGAAGCTGCGGGAGGGGTTGGATGTACAAGCGGGACCGCTGAGAACAAATCTTCATCGACCCCATTCGTACTCTGCATAACCCCCGACCGAGTCTTAGTATTAGTAAGATCCATAAGAGACGTCAGAGCTTCCGTCATGGTAGCCCAAAGCGTAGTGGTCGTAGATGCCGTAGTCCGGATCATACCCATCATCAAAGTAATCTTGACCATCTAGGTCTGGCTCGGCAGCTGGCACTCCACAGCTACCATCACGCACATCTGGGAATGAGAGTGTCAGCTTGCAGCAGGGGTTCGCCTCCAAGAGAGCTGTGGTGACTTCCCTGGGGCTTTTCCGGTAGATTGCCAGGACCAAGGGCAATGCTTGCTCCCCGCGGCAGCACCCCAGATCCGCCGAGATCTTCTCGGAGAGGCCCTCTTTAGGAGAAGGGCTGTGAGAACCTCCACATCTAGCTCGCCCCTTCTCCGATGAAGCAAAGCGCGTAGAATCTCCACAGGAATCATTCGACAACTCACACAGCAAACCAAGGTTGAAGGTTGTTTCAAGGGTAGCTTGGAAGTGGCATGCTGCATAGTAAGATTCACATCCACGTCGCAGATGGGAATCAAGGAGGCACGGCAACCAAGCACCGCATCATCCCTCGGCCTGCCATCATGCTCCTGGTATTCCTGGTGCACAACCAAGCAAAACTCTCCGGACGCTTGCGGTTCTGCGCTGTCAACGGTAGGCGCGGCTCGTGCTTGCCCGAGCTGATGCACAAATTCTGCCGAGAGGAGGCAGCGCTGGAGAAGCCAGGCCTTTCGCCCGGACCTGCATGAAACTTGGTGCCAGCTGCCAGGGTTCTTGGCCACCTCCACCGGCGCAGGTGAAGGAGGCGTCAGAGGTAGCAACTTCTCAAGCAAGCTTTGCCAGCTTCGGCGACTGTCAATGGCAAGGTTCCGGTGTAGGGCCAGCAACTCCAGCGGAAGGCGGCCCAAGCCGTCCTCCGCACAGGCCGCCTCTGGAAAAAGGCTCAAGACCCATTCTGCCAATTGGAATGCATGAATTTCGGTGTTGATCAGTATAGCTGACAACGGCAGCATTCTCACAGCTCCACTACTTGGTGACACCCCTGACGACACCTGTAGGATCTTCCTTGCGCTGTCTGGGCTGACACACATGACCTCACGCACAGCCCAGGGATCAAACGCCTCTGCGGCCTCACCCAGGCAGACTTGAAGGACTTGGGTGGCACAGTCAGCCGTGCTCAGGCGTCCAAATCCATTGCCGACGTAGCCGTACACGTCGGGCACATAGAGTTGCGGCATCGCATGGTTCACAGAAACCTCGCTAGCGGACCAGCAGCGTGATGCGGACAGTGCAGAGACCACGACGGCAAGAAGAGAAGGAGTTCCCAGGCAGGAAGCGACCCGGACAATGGCCTGGGCAGGCAGGCGAGAGAAGGGGTTGCCTGCATTGTTGCGCGCCATGTGCAGCAGACGCTCGCGGACCCAATCCCGTTTGGGGAGCAAAGCTTCCTGTTTGTGTCTGCGTGCTTCGGCCAGCAACCGGCAAAGCCAGGCTCGGGGCTTGGCGCCTTCCACAAGCCACCCAGGATTCTTGCGACAGATACTAGGCAGCGCATCTCGGAAAAGCTGCAGTTTGTTGCGTAGCCCGGTGGTGTCAAGGGCCTTGAAGCAAGACTCCGAAACAGTTTCCGTAGCTTCCACAATATGCCACATTCCAAGCCAAAACTGCTTCATTGCCAACCACGTCTCGTCCGAGTTGCAGCACTCCAAAAGTTCAGCACAAGCAGAGGCTTCAACTAAGTCGGGAGCAAACATTACAACCTCCTCGGCAGCAAGCACAAGCTCCTTGTCCACCTCTGTCCCCAGTCCGTGCCGACTTGTTTGCAATGAGCGTTTCACATCGTAAATGAGGATATGGCTCAAGTATGTCGGAACGAGGTGGCCCAAGTGGCTTCTGTCGAGCCTGCGAGGGAAGTGTTCTGCTGGTATCGGGCACCTCGCGACATCAGGCCACTGGGCGAAGAGAATTCTCGTGACTGCTGCAGGGCAGCTGAGGAGAGCGGCCATCTGGGCAGCATAAACGGGACTCTGTGACTGGCCCTTGCCCCCCTTGCCATTGCTTCCCATGCCTCCCTGGCCTCCGCTGCCAGGACTCCGCTTGGCTGCAATGGGCTGCTGCGCAGCGCCGGCGAGCTTCTGGAGCAAGCGCCGCACCTGCGCAGGCCGTGCGGAGGGTCCCCGGTCCAGCTCCTCCTCCAAGGATGCCAGCATCTCCATTTGCGACTCCTGCTCGTAACTCGTGGTCCAGCCGAACTCTGCCAGAAATGCTGACCGTGCTTCTTGCGAGACTGGGCTTGACTCGCCTGTGTGCCCAGCGCAACGGAACAAAGGAGTGACCACTTGCATCCCAGGGACAGGAGATGTTTGCCAAGGATCGGTGGCCTCCCAAGCATCACAGGCGTGATGGGGCTGGGGTGCTTGGGCTGCGTGCTCCGCCAACGGGGTTCCAAGAGTTCGCTGAAGAGCCCTCAGGGCGACAAGCTTTCCTGAAGGTTCCAGCTCCGCCAATCGTCGCCACAGCTTCACGGACTTCACGGAGCCAAAGGGCCTCTCTAGCACTTCCAGCAACGTGGTGGACGTAACTAGATCCGGCCTCATCTCTACCAGCCGTTCCAGAAGTGCCTCGGGTGTGCCAATTCGGAGGCAAACATGCAGGAGGCCAGCATCTGCCAAATGACCTGCCTGAGAGGCGGTTGCTCCGCGGGTTTTCCCCGCCAACGGTTGCAACAAAATGGCTGCGTGTCCCAATTGTTGTGCTACGCCAGTGTGTCCCAGTTGTGCTAAGAGCTGCAAGGAGCGGTCCAAGCTTGCTCTCAGGGCTTGCTGCGGCTGAACGAGGGCTAGCAGAGCATCAAAGACTACGAGGCTGTGGCCAGAAGCCAAAGCCAGGAACAGTGGCTCAGCACTGCAGGGCCTTGGCAGCGAAGCTGCTTCGGGATTGTGCTTGAGCAAACACATAACGATGTCAGCTGGGCAGGCGTAGAACAAAGCCCACCAAAGCAGGAACTCGCCATTCACCAGCACCTTTGCGCATGAGGCATTCTGCTCCACATCTTGCGCGGTAGCTTTGGTCCATGGGCCTTCCTGCATCTGTGTGAACAAGCTGTCTGCGGCCACAACCACATCAATTACTGCCTTCAGCGATGTCTTCTGCTCGAAGTGCCCGAATTGGCCCTTACTCGCCTTGGTCACGAGCCCAAGCTGACGCCATAGCTGTGCACATCCTTCAGGGTCCGCGTCGGCAACAGCAGACAGCAAGCCCTGGCCCTCTGATGAGGAGACATCTGGTAAAATGCTTGGTGCACTCAGGAAGAGCAGAGACGTTGCGGTGAGGCCAAAAGTGTCTGCTTGGCTGATGACTGACGAGTCCAGCAGCAAAGACTGCTTGAGCACTTGCTTCACAAGTGCAGCACCAAAGACCTGCGGGCTGGAGAGGAGGATGTGCAGCACATTTCCTTGCCAACTCTTTTCGGATCCGTCTCCGGTGCTCAGTGCACCTGTAACTGCATCAGGGAATGCCTCCATCAAGCTGTCAACAATCTGCGCGGGCGCATTCGTGCACATGGCATAGTGCAGCGGCAATGCACCTTTAGCTCCGCTCGTCGCCAGTTCCAACAGTAAAGAAGCTTTCGGACCCTTGTTCTGAGTCTGAGGCAAAAGGCTGTCTTGGGCTTGGAAGGGACGCACATAGGGGCTTGTGCGAGAGTTGTTGGAGGCAAGAGCCTGTGCCTCCTTGACTTTGAACCCCTGGAGCAAAGTCAAAGTTGACGGCAAGGGGATGGCAAGGCGGCAGCTGCAGGCTGTAACTTCAGCAATGCGCAGGTCAGTGCTGCAGGAAAGCGAAGATGGAGAGCTGCATGAAGAGGCACATCATGGGATGCTCGGCCAGGTGCTGGAGGAATAAGCGCCTGACAAAGGCTGGCTGGGGGCACCGCCCTGGCCACTCGCAAGAATGCATTCGAGTCGATTGAAACAGGGGGCTGCTGGAAGAACAGCTGAAAGTCTTGGATAGTCTCCGCCATTATACTACTGCTTGCAGGGCCATGCTGCATCTGCAGCAAGGCCTGCAAGACATCATCGTGGGTCCCGAGCTTGCTGGCAGCATCCAGTGCTCTTGCTAAGCCAGATCCAGATGCTTCGCGCATTGCTTCAGGACGCTTAGAGCTGATCTCGGGCAACATCAGCTGCACACACAAATTTGGTGCTCCCCAGACAAGGTGCGGACTGTTTGATTTCGATTCTGTACAAACGTCATGTGCAGTCGGCAGTGCCAGGAACCCGGGAGAACTTTTGGAATGCCTAAGCGCCGAGACTGGTTCTCAAACGGCTTCGACATGGCCTATTGTGCGACAAGCGGTGCCCGGCCTGTCCACCACTGCGCGATGCCTGTGCACCTGGACCAGGGATTCCCCCCTTGGACCCCTTTGACTCAAGATGCTGAAGTTTTCAACTCTTCTTCTACCCAGCGAAAGGGGTCCCCTTGAAAGCTCTAGCTAGCTCGTTCTTTCTTTCTTTCGCGGGGCTTCCCCCGCAGGTCCCCGAGCAGTTTGACTCCCTCTTTCTTTCTGCGGGCCTGAGGAGAGGGTGGCCCCTCCCGGGAGAACCATCCTGAACTACATGTCTTCGTACCAGTACTCTACTCGGGCTCTGGAGCCCTTCTTGCGGGGAAACACTCCATGGAGGACTAGTACTCAGTACTATGCCAGTAACCCTAGCACAGAAAGGTGACATCACACAACAGCAGGTGTTCGGGTACATCACGGGCCTTCAGGCTGCGAGCTTTAAGGCTCCTATGGACACGGACATGCACTCGGTCAGCAAACATCCTGTCAGCTAGTAACAAGCGCCCCCTAACTAAGTCTAGTCGTCCAGGTCCATGGAACTGCTTCTACGTCGCCTATAATACAAGGCATCACTGGTGGGAGCTCACTTGACGACCGGCTGCTCTCGCCCATCCATGGGTTTCCTGACTCACTGACTCACTCACTCACTCTCAAACCTTCTTCTCAGGCGCAATCCAGAGCTCTCAGTGACACCTGTCGGTTTGCTCTGTTAAATGGGTATAAATGGGTCATAGGCAACGAGGGTTTTAGTCATGTGCATGTCGGGATTGACAGAGCATGTTTTTGGCAGTCAAGCGTCGAATAGAATGCAGCAAGCCCAGGTCAGACATCGACACTTAGAAATTACTTACTGACTGCAGTACAACGAATCAGAGTCAGACAATCAAGTATGCTACCGTCAAGTGGACGGGCCGTGCAATCCACAGCTCCCAGCCTCAGAGGCCATGGGGCGACGCATTGCACGGACCCACACCCCTAGTGGAGTAAGTATGGACTGGCCCATTGCTCCGTCGTGGTGTTCGGTGCTGTTGATGTTGCTGTGCGGCTGAGACAGGTGAACTTTCTTGTGGGCGTGTGTGTGTGTGTGTGTGTGTGGATTGCGCACTGATGGATGGAGTCTGAAATGACCTGAGCAGCTTTTGGTTCTGCGCAGAGTGCCGCAACATGTCCCTCCATCAGATGATGACAATGAATCGTGTGCTGTAGATGTTTGTTCATCCTTCCTGCGGAAGTCTGCAACACACGACAGGCCTCAAGACCGGCTGCATGTGTATGGTTTGTGGCAACTGCCTGTCTCTGCTTGAAGTGACAACTCTCATATTCTGTTCTGCACGGATTGTCTTGTCAGTGTCACAGGCTTGTCACTGAGTTACCCACATATGGTCAATTCTCGGTCCTTGTTGGGATTGGGGTAGCCATAACCTGGACATCTGAGCTCATGTATTTAGCCGTTGTCCAATAAATAAACCTTGCCGAGATTCTCCCAACCCACTCGGCATAAGAACGGATCAACCCGAACTCATCTGGACGCTCTATCCGCAAGAGCGCCCGAAACAACACGAAATGAACGGAAATCCCGCCGTTCCCCTTGTAAACGCTCGAATTTGCATGAAAGTCCGCAAGACACACATCTGCGGGCTATTCCCCACGAGTACAGTCGATTCCAGCATCGCGCAAGACACACACACACACACAAAGACATCAGTGGCATCGTACCTCATCAAGCGAAGCAGTTTCAACACGTAGATGCTGGATTCCGAAAGCGTATGGCGTCACAACACACCAAAGGCAGCCAGTCCTGAATTCGACACCCGAGTTTAGAAGTGCTACTCCAAGGGGCAATCAGGTCCGACATCCACCCACCGGGCATCAAGGGTTTGTAGGCATCGGCGCTGGCACGCGGCACGCCCAACCCTCGCTCTCGAGGCCAACCCCAGCACCCCAAATCCACAGACTGAGCTTTAATTGGCTTACATTCGCGGACTGGCGCGGTACACCGAAAGATTCTAGCGATGCCTGATACGATTACTTGCATCCAGCTGATGAGCCAGTCCCGCTTACGCTCCCTTACACTTGTTTGCGAATCGCAACCCAAGCGCATTTACAGCCCAAATTCTCAGACGGAATGCTCGCTTCCCAAAGCAATGCGAAGAGTAGGCAGTCACATGCCCAGCATATACTTACAGTACTAAAGTAAGTACCATCCCAAGACACGAGCACATGTGGTCGATCGTTGTGGCCGCTCGTGTTAGTCCCTGGTTGTGCTGATCGGCTGTGTTCGAGCAGAGGGACTTGCAACCGACTGTGGAATCAGTGCCAGTCCGGCAGGCGGTCTGTTGTTCAAAAATAGAACAGAACTGTCAGTTCACGGGACAACATGGTCTCTCATGACGGTTCTTGTGTCTGTGTCTGACATGTGCTCACTCGTCTCTTTTGTCATACATGGACTCGCCGCGTGGACTGCTTGTGTGCCCACGTAGATTCTTTCAGGGTGCATTCCGCATTCCCTGATTGCACATTAAAGCACGCTGCTAATCTCTTGTGGAAGCAGGAGGCTTAAGGCGGTTCGAAGTGCATCTGAAAATGCTAGCGACTCACCGGACGACCTGTTGAAAGACTTTAAGTAGACGATGCTGCCACTGCCCAACCTGCAGCATTCGCCTCTTGGGCGACCTGGTGAAGCAACAGGGGTCAACAGATCTACGAGGCTTGCAAGGCCTGAGCCTTCAAGCCCAACAGTCAAGGGCTGCTTGTAAAGTTGCCATTGGCATCAAACTCAGTGTCACCCAGGCCATCGCCACCGAGTTCAAGGGGCGTCCCACCGTTGTCGGTACCGGATCCACTTCCGCCTAAGCGAGATGAAGCAATTTCTCCCAAGCGGTGGCTTGCCTTGTCGAAAAGGTCGGTGTCTACTCGGTGATGGATGTTCGTTCCATTGGCACTGACATCGACAGTCTTTTTGGTGTTGCCTATTGGCATGAAGACATCGTGACGCCACTGTGTATCCCCAGCACTGATGTCAAACGATCTTTGAGTGTTGCCAACAGGCATGTAAACATCATGGCTCAATACATTATCCTTCTTCGTGGGCATAAATACATCGTGATGCCAGTTGATATCCTTCGTCATGGGCATAGACACATCGTGATGCCAGTTGACTGGCATGTCGACGTCGTGACTCCAAACATTCTCCTTGTTCATTGGCATGGACACATGGTGATGCCAGGCGATGTGTTGGTTCCGCTGAGAGTTGCCGCTCTTTATTATCGAATCCCCTGAGCGGACTCTGGCTACGGTCTTAGAGTTGCCAATCGTCCTGAGGTCAGATTCGATGTGGGAGAGCCCGCTGTTACCCCCAATAACATTTCCGTACACGGTGCTGCCAGTTATCGTGATAGATTGGGGCACTTCTTCGCTGGCCAACCCATCATCCATCACGTTGTTGCCTGGGAACAAGATGCCTTTGACTGCGCCCGTGAGCTTCGACAACTCCTCCCACTGTCACATGCTGAAACTTGCAATATTCTCAGTGCTCTCTTTCGGGGTGCTTCGTAACAAACTGAACATGAACAGGCCCCGGAAAGTATGCTGATGATGATGATGATGATGACGATTGTGGAGCTGCTGAGTGGATGAAGAAGCTCAGCCACACGCACTCGCTGATAGCAACTGGAGGTTGCTGCTCCGACGATAACAGATACTGTTGCGATCGCAGTCATGGTTTCTAGTAGCAAAAACATTTGTCAGTGCTGCTGTCCCTGTCGCTGTAGAATTATCATCGATGTACAACACGTGCTGTGTAGTACCTTTGCACTGTGGGTCATGCTCAGCAGGAGCGACTCTTGCTGCGTTGACAGCCCAAGACATGCAGTTGTTCTCATCAATTGGCCTCAAAACACGTTAAGCTGATCAATCACCCCAGACCGAAGAAATGACGACTTTGCTTCTCGTCACCACCAGCAGCACCACGACGTCACTACTACTGGCTATGGCGTCTACTACTGCTGCTCGTGTCCGCACGCAACATCACCAAGGCAATGCAAGCCAACACCCCGAAAGCGACTCCTTCTCTCGCTTCACAACGGCACCAAGCAGTTTCTTCAGCTTCGTGAACTGGTACCCGCCACTGCCGGCAAGATCCTTCCTGAGGGCCAGGTTGGCTGAGCATAGGTACTCTGAAGCCTTAGTCTCGTCGCACTTGGCGGTTAGCTGTGTTGCTTATTTGCAGCGACCTTGACAAGGCCCCTTCTCAAGCCGTGAAAAGACTTCAGGAGCCTCCTTCCCCCTGGCACCTGAATTGGCGGTGTTGCCTTGGTAAGGAACAGCCCTCAAAACACTTCCGTCCGTGCCCCGGTCTAGATTTAGAGAGCTGCATGCCTTGGCTTAAGCCTTTTGATCTCATCCAGGATCACACAACCTAGACTGAAGACATGCTGTGTTTTTGTCATCGGGGCGGCTTGAGCAGCTAAAATCCCGAGTCCTCTGCTTGTGCTCGTCGGCGGGCGGCTTGGCCCAGTAGGCTTTCCAGTTTGCCGAGCTTCTGGAGGGTGCAGCAAAGATGTCTGGTCTGGATCTTGAAGACCCGTCACCTGCTCAAATCGAATTCTCTTTGAAGATAGCCTGCGGTACGCTGCGGAACAACCCACGACCAAGGATCCCCAAGTTCTTGTCGACGATGAAACACAGGAGACGCTCCAAAACTGAATTCGTTTTTTGCACCTGAACTGCCCGAGAACCTGAATCTTTAAGTCTCGTCGTCACACTGTGGCTTGAAAGTATGAGGTCCTCTAGGGGTCGAGGAGAATGCGCTTGAACCTCCTGCAGAGTCCGGCATTGTTGGATGCTTCAAGGCTGGGTGTAAGATTCGAAAGGTCTGGGAGCTTCGGCTTGGAGGTGATGTCCTCTTCGAAGTCTGGGACCCTTGAGTCAACCTGCACACCATGTCCCTGAGCCCAGAAAAGCCGGTTGCCTGAGCTTCCTCCACCGATTTGTCCGAGACATGGCTCCTGGCACGCAGTCTGCATTCGGTGGCTACCCCCAGAAACGGACATCTCAGAAGATGTGGAAAACCAAGGACAGCCAGTGACGGGATCACAGATTCGTCTGGCACCTGACTGCGAGAGGGAGAGGCCGTGACATGACGCCGTTGGGAACCCACCGTTGGCAGCCTACACACAGACAATCACAGACACGAGTCCTCGGCCTCTGTCTTTGCAGGTGCTCATGTCGCGGGCCATGTGTCAGAAGCGAAGTCTCATCAGAGGTGCAGGAAGATGCTGCAAGTGGTGCCGGCAGCAGCAAAACAAGTGCGGTCAGCAGCAGTGCCATGACATCTGATCGCGCCAAAAGAGAGGGATCTCTGGGAGTATTTTGACTCATGAAACAGCGGCTGCAAAGGACCATGGTAGGGTCACCCCTGCCCGAATCCTGAACCAAAGCTCCCTCCGGAGGCGAACATGACGAAACCTGTCTGGAAGGTGCACAATCCTTACTGCCAGCATCCTGCATCCTGTTGCCTCCCAGCCCAGGCGGGCACTGAAAAACACCACTCCAACGCCAGGCGCTGCTTTCTAGCGCCATATGGGGTCCAACTTCTGTCATGTTCCATCTCGTGCTGATCCGTTTCATGAGAGTCTGCCAGATGCTGCCAAACTGTGCTGTATAGTCGATTCTTGACTATACCGACTCCTCTTTTGTGCAAGTAAACCCCCCTTCCTTCATGTCTCAGGATTCCTTCTGAGAACAAGAGCCTCACGCTACCTCCACTGAACCCGGCTCGACTGACGCTTTTTGGCCTCAGGTGTATCTGACCGTCAGACCTGGTACACCCAGCTCCGGGTGCACCTGATTGGCCCAGGGTTTGAGAACGCTGCAGCATCGAAACAAGGAGCTGTGAATGGTGTTCCTCCGGGACAGCCACGCAACTTGCTGGATCGTTTTATTAACCAGTGGGGCCGTATTTAGGCTCCAAAAACCCTTCGCACCTGAATGCCGAAAACCGGTACCCAAACACCCCAACTCCAAAACGCACACTGGCTGCCGAACTCCTCCCGTTTAGATTTCAGTCTTGGGGTGAGTTCAAGATCTGGTTTCGCGGCAGAGGATTGGGGATTCGGGTCAGGGTTGAGGGGAGGGTCAGGTTCCGAGTATTGATCATGCTGTCGCGTCATTGTTGAACATCGATTTTGGGAAATAGGGCTGCTAGTTACTGCTGGTTGCTTGGGGATGTTCACCCTGTGAGGGGACTTGCAAAAGCACAACACGCAGAAGAACCCGAACAAGTTTCGGAAACACCAAATTTATATTTATGCTGTGAACTCAGGGCAGTGCCGACCACCCTGCAGTCTCATCGCGCTCTCCCAGGTTATCGCAATCAAAGTCTGGCTCCTGCTTCTGTTGGATGCTGCACAGTCTGCAATACAATCTGTGGACGGGGTCACTGAGGCTGACTGTGCTGCGTTCCTATGAAGCTGAAGTTGCAGAGAAGACTGAAGCCTTTCAACGTCCAACTCCCAGAAGGCTCAACAACCCAGCAAATCATGACCGCAAGCCCTCTCCGCTTCCCAAAACGTCTTCAAGTTTCAGGATTTCCCTGGCCTTGCAGGTGCCGGATTTTGGCACACTTGCCTCCAGCTAAGCTGTGGGCAAAACATGCGACGAGAGGGCCAGGGCGTCGATTCGGTCTAGATCTTCGCAAGCATTTGGGAGCTTCGAGGGCTCATTGCTCACATTCTAGATCGCCCTCCGCGCTATTCGGGAGCGATCCGTGGGGGACTGGAGCCTGAGTCCTGTCCCCTCTGAAATTGCAAGACCTCGAGGATTTCGCAACAGCCCAGCCACCACCCGATACCCAATGCATGAGGATGTGCATCCGCGTGCATGTGTGTAGACAAACCTCCTAGCGTCCGGCGTGGAGACCCCTTCTCATAAGGGGAGCGACCGAGCGACCTTCAAACTGGAACCCAAAGCCTCGAAACGCTGACCCTAAACGGCCAAAAAAACCCTGGAGGGCCTAGATTCCAACCCCCCCGAAGCACATCCTCAGCTCTTATGAAGAAGGTAGACAACAGGCGACTGGCAAGCTGAAACAAGGAAGCCTCAGGAGCGAAACGGTTACAGGGCGAAGCCCTCACCTCAAACCCTCTTTGGCTGACACCTGGCTGACACTGGACAGAGCGCTCTCTTCCGCAACACAGCTTAGGGAGGACCAAAGTGAGAACACACGCACGTCCCCCTCCCTTCCCCCGGCCCCCACACCTGCCTTGATGACCATGGAGAGCAGGCTTTGGTCATGGCGATTCTCTTTTCGCTTGTGCCAGGGACCATCGAGTGCAGTATTCCTTCGAGCTGTTGAATCTTTGTCGGTTTGGGGACCGTGCGCTTTCGGAGCTTGCGCGATGGTCGATCTGGACAAAGAGCCACGAAAGAGCCGTTTGTGTAAGTCGCTTCGACCGTACGAACATACACAGACAAATGTGCTCAGGCCGTGAAACACAAGTATTTTAAAGAGAAGCGACGCGGCTATCCCGTTGAGAAATACAGAGAATGTCACTTGTCGTCCAAGCTCTGGTTGCTCCAGCTGACAACCCCATGCCACACTGTAATCTTCAAGGATCATTGCGCATAAAATCGCTCCGGCTTAGGTTGCAGTTTCTGATGCCGTCGATTGAAGTCCTCAGCCCTTAGTCATTCAGGTCCAATCGACCCACCTGCAGGCCCTCAAACTTCAGCTGAGGCTTTGTGCCTGGAGGGTTCATCCGACACCAGATGGAAGTCCTGTGGCTCGAGCTTTGGTTTAGCCAGGGCCTTAAGGGCTTAGGTATGCTAGTTCAGAGCTTTGGGATCAAGAGGGTCTAGAGCATGGGGCTTATGTACAAGGCACCCATGCGGCTAGGCACAAGTAGCTGCTCTGTACAGGTGCTTTAGCAAGCTTTTGGCAAGCTTGCACACTTTCTGCCAGAAACCTCATAGCATTGAAGCAGCACCAGTAGAGTCACCCCCTCTAAACGAATATACTGAGGCACCTCAAGATTGGAGATTTTCCCTCTTTAAACTGATGGGCGGGAAATGTGGCACACGTAGTGTCATGGGAGAGTCAAAGGGGAAGCCTTTGAGCCTCAAGCCAAATCCCAACAGCAAGGCCAAACGAAGCGTGTTGCGCGAGATGTTGCCTGCAAACTACACACCTCCAATCTGAAGAGGGTCTTCAAGGTGTTCTGCAGATTCTCTAACAGGGCTGAAGGGAGACCGGCTCAGGATCTGTGCTGAAACTGCACATGCCATGACATGAACTGAAACTCTGAATGCTCAAAGTTCTTTTGCACCGGATCCTGCAGGAGCATCTCCCAAGTCCGCAGCAAACGTGAGGTTCGGACGTTCAGCCGCATCAAGTAAGCCTGGCCGTTGGGCCATACTGTTCTAGTTTCAGAGCGGTTTGGACGGGGCGAATGCTTCCGACAGAAAGTGAAAATATCAAGTCTCTACACCCCTATACTCTTTACATGATGTCCAGCAAAATCTTCCAGGAGACATGGGCCTTTTCCCTCTCCATCGTAGCTGTACGACAACTTGCTGCAACCATCACCACTGCTGCTTACTCATCCTGCTGCTCATTCCAATGCTAGTACCAGAGCTTGCAGAAACACTAGCATCATGACAAACGCAGCCGTCGTCACCGCCGTCGTGACAGTTGTAGCAGTTGTGCTGGTGAAAGTGTTGGCTCGACTTTCACCGCGACTGGGGGCTGGGGCTGGCGGGCGGTGGCATTGGCGCTGTGTGCTGCTTGTTTTTGCCGGCTTTGGCGCTGGCTCTGGCGCCGGCGCTGGGGGATCGCAAAACGAGGGAGCGGGTTGAAGATACGTGTTCAATCGGGATCGCCTGCAAGTACGGGCCGGGTTTAAGACATGTGATCAATCGCGATCAACCGGGATCGCCTAATGGGGGGGCGCGCTTAAGATAAGTGGGGAAACGGGATCGCCTCATGAGGGGCTGGATTGTTGATATGTGCTCAATCTGCATCAGCGAATGAGGGAGCACGTGTCAGATATGTGATCAACCGGATCGCCCAATGAGAGGCAGGTTTCAACTATGAGACGAATCGGGATCGCCAAATGCGGTGGCAGATATTTTGCAATGTCATCGACCTGGGTCGCCAGATGAGTTTAAGAAATGTCATCGACTTGGACCGCCAAACGGGCGGTGGGTTTAAGGTATGTGATGAAACCGGATCGCTGCATGAGGGATCGGGCTTAAGAAATGTGAACAACCAGTATGATCGCCTGAGGGGGCGTGCTTAACATAAGTAGTGAAGCGGGATCGGGCGGGTTTAAAGAAATGCGATCAACTGGCATCGCCAAGGGAGGGGTGGGCTTACGGTGGATGTTTAGACACTACCCTATGCTTTCCTAATTCTCTGGTTGTCAGCCTAGCCAGAGAGTTCCCAACCCGAACGAAAAGCACGTCGCATGCGTTTCGTCTCCAGGTTTTTTGTACGCCTGCGACCTCCTAAAAGCTTCCTATTCTCTCAACTGCGGCTCACTTTTCCTGTCACCGCACTGGAGTGTTCGGGTCCTTGAGCCTAAGCGTCGACGTCTCTTCCTGGCTCACTATCAGCATTTTCCTATACAGTAAACTGTGCAGAATGTTTAACGCCCCGCCTTCGAAGTTAGTGCAAATCAGTTTCTTGACTCAACTGGCTTCGACAAAAAGTTCCTGAACACTCGCTGTTTGAACTATTCCTTTGTCGCAGACAATTTCCTGTCCACTCGCAGTTTGGTGGTACTGTACAAAAGTTCCTTTGAATTGACACAAGAACACTGGTCGTACTTGGATCATCATCTTTGCCGCGCAGAACTCGCTCCTGAAAACGGGCTTGCCGACTCAGTTCCTGTGACCTTCTCGGTCTCACACTTTCTTCCTTTTGGCTTCTGGTCCTGTGCTTCTTCTGCTTTGCTTCTCTTTGCTTCCTTTGGCTTTGGCTTTAATCCTTCTTTGGCCTTTCGACTTTGCTTCTTCTCCTCACTGGAAGCTTTGGTCGTCGCGCTTCCTGCTGCTCCTGAGCTTTGCTCTTCTCCTTTCCCTGTTTCTTCGCTCTCCTGTGTCTTTCTTCTTTCCTTTCTTGCCTTTGACTTCCTTGGCTTTCCTGTCCTGCTCCTCGCACACTTTTCCTCCTTTGCTGTCTCTTTCCTGCTTCACCCACCGCTTCTAGGTAGGGTCGTAGTAGTGCCAAAAGCACGTGTCCTGGTTCCACTTCCACTGAAACCATTGCTTGCCGAACGGGTAGATGGCGTAAAGGTTCCTGTCCGTGTCGTCGGTGAGTTCTGAGTCTCCTTTATCCAACACGAAGTCCTTTTGCTGTTGTGGTCCTTTCTTGTGGATTTCCTCGTCTTCGTCTTCCTATCCTTTCCTTTTGTGGATACTGCCTCGCTTCCTTTGTTGCTTGCCAACTCTTCCTGCAACTGCCTGATCCTTTCTCTGTCCTGCTGCTTTTCCTCGATCAGTGTCTCCAACATCTTCTCCATTTTGGCCATTCTCTCCTGATCCTTTCCTGCTGCTGCTGCTGCTGGCTCCTTCCTCTGCCTTGCTTGCTGCCTCGATTTTCTTTTTCCTTTCCTCTTCTTTTGCTCTTTCGGCTGCTGCGTCTGCTGCTTTCTTCTTCTTTTCATCCTCTGTCTTCTTGGCGGCTGCTGCTTTCTTTGCTTCTGCTTCTGCTGCTAGCCTTCTTTCGTTTTCCTCGAGCGGTTTGCTCCCTGTTTTTTAAATACTCTATAGTCCTTTCGGGCTGTGCGGTTTGCTCCATGAGCCTGGCCACAATCATATTCGTTGTCTAGAGCCTCGATCTACGAATATCGCGTGCAGTGCCTAGTATTTGCCGACTGCACCCCCTTCGCCGGCGGCGGACACGGCGCCTACATGCCGACTGCACCCCCTTCGCTTGCGGCGGACGCGGCGCGCCCCACCTGCATGCCGCTGCACCCGCTGCGGCTGCGGTGGACACAGCGGGCTCCTTCTTTAGCTAGAACCTAATAGCTAAAGCTATCTGGGGAAAACGAAGTTGCAAGGACAGCTTCCCTTTCTCTGCCTGGGCTTTCGGCTGCTGCGTGAGGCCGTAGTGCGGGTTGTCCCAGGTCGTGTTGAAACGCTCAAAGATCTCGCCTTTCGTCCAGACCTCATGGCTGAAAATGTCATTGCGATTTCACGCATTGCGCACCGCCTAAACCCAAACACAGCACCAGTGGTGATGTCTTCTACAAGTCGAGGTTGGTGAGGTCTGCAATGACTTTACAAGACGTACCTTACTACCAAGCCAACAAGCTTCACCACAACATTTACCAGGTGACAATCGACTGCATAGACTGACTGTGTGGAATAACTCGACATGACTCGACCGCCGCCTAACCCAATATCTATACCCTAAAGTGAAACACTTCGACCTTCATTTATAATGCGGAGTTCAGGTATTGGGGCCAGGGTATCTAACTCCCAACAATCCTCTCATAAGCTGGGTACGTGCTCGCAGTGCGGCTGCTTCCGGATGACGATATCCTGCGGGAATGTCCCATGGAAGACAGTGAAGAATCTTTACCTTTCAGAGTCCGTTCCGTTTGGCAGGCCGGGGGAGACACAAATAGAACCGAGGCCGCGGTGCAGGTTCTGAATGAGTCTTAGAAATGGCTGTCTCAACGACTTCTAACCCAATGTGCAAGCGAGGGGTGCTCTGCCCACAAGCTCCACAGCTCTCCTCGCCAACCCTCGATCCGGACAATCCATTTGGGGCTTTGGGTTCGGAGCATAAAGCTTATGGAGCCCACACAAATGTCACTCTCTCAGAACTTGTTCATGAATGATCACTCTTTGGCTGGAGTTTTACGCCTACGAGTAGAGCTTTTGGCACGTCATCCGACCTAGCTTCGGACGAATGCAAGCAATCTGAATCTCGTGAGATCTTGGCAAGATAGGCGCCAAAGCACGTCCACACCATGCCACCAAGCTCTGAGAGTAAGGCCGCAACTACACTTGCGGCAGACCACTTATGTCGACTGCAAATCGGTCGACCACAACTGCGGCCGCTGGCCCGGAGGCATCCAGAAATCTCTGTCACCACAAGGCAGCAAGCGCTCACCCGGCCAGCGGTGTATGTTGTGCGGCCATAGGCGGCCGTGGCAACCCTCAGACGAGATGTTCGCGAGCCGATGTCTGCACCATGAACCATTTGAAGCACAGCGGCATTGTGGATCAAGCGATCTCGGCCGATGCTACGATCCAACATAGACTGGCGTCATGCTAAAAATCTTGGTTGTCTGGTCACCAGACAAGTGGTGGTTTCCCCTGGATCATTGCCCATTGCACGCAACTGCCTGTCCACATAAAATGCCTGTGGCCTGCAAGCTGCCTGTCTGCCCTTTGCCGTGGTTTGTTGCTCCGCTGTCATGCGCTTGGACCCCATGCGCATTCATTTGCCACAAAGTGACAGCAAGGCAGCTCTCAGCAAGGCAAGATGCAGCTCTCAGCCCCCCGGGGGGCTATCACACGCACAGAACACAATCATCTTCACAACACGATATCTACAGGAAACGACCTGAAGGAAAAAGATGTCCCAGCCACTACGAGCACTGCAAGCCGGCGAAGTGCAGCCCGCTGATAGCAGCCCGCATTACGCCTGTCCACATAGGACGCCTGCGGCCGGCACTCTGCCTGACCCCAGCAGACGTGTTGGCACATTGCTCCACTGCCATTCGCCGCGTTCGCCTCGACCGCATGTGCGTTCGCCAGAAAGGCATCTGCCTTTCAACCTGCGTGACAACAAGGCAGCCCCACACTCGGCCAGCGGGACGTAGACATCAAATTGCAGCTCTCCTTTTTGTAGGGCCAGCAGTCCAGCAATCACTACGTCCGGAGCTACTGTATGCATGATGATCAAGCTTTGCCACTATGCCCTACTTCTGCTAAGTCTTCCACCGAGCCCTAACGCGAAACTCTGCTTCAGGTGCACTCTAGACTCTAGTCTCACAAGCCCTGCGGCCAACCCGAGACGCCGAGACGAAGAAAGTCGAAAGGGTCCTCTGTTGTTTCCTCTCGCATTTTCAAGAGGTGGCCCAACTCACCCAAAGCATCCGCATCCACCTTGGCACCGTGTCAATACGGGTGAGATTAGGCCGGGTCAGACGGATTAAGAACAGGAAGTGCAGTGTAGCCTCTTTCAAGAGGGCGGGGTGGGGCCATGACACTGACCACAACGCATCTCCCAGCCCGAGCTCCAACAACTGCTCCAAATCGTTAGAAACACGAACACATGCTCAAGAACAATGACCCCATCAATAAGACATCTCGATGTCTCTGGCACATCCAGACCCCGGAATCCTCGGCTTCCGAAAACGTCTTCATACTCGATATCTGCTCCTTCGATTCACACACCAGCCACAGGTCCTGGGTGTTATCAGCCATGCGGCATAGAGGAGATCGTCGCCCAGCTGCATTTCCTGAGCGTTTTGGAGATCAAGGCAGGGCCTGTATGCGAATTAGGAGCTCTCAGCAAGAGAGCAGGCCGCCTGACGGAACATATACCCCACGCCAGGGCACTCCTTTGTCGAGAAGCATGTTGGACAGCGCTGCCTGGCTGTCGGGGATCTGAAGTCTGCGACACCGGCCAGTTCAGCTCGACTAGTATTTATGCGCAAATGCCTAAGCCTTGAACGAGTCGTGGGTCTCAAGGCCATCTTGCACTTCGGGGATACGTATGGATGCCCCTAGAAAAACCAACTCTGAACCCCTACCTGAACCCAAAAGCCCTAAGCCTAAACTTTACCCCTCTCCCCTCACCTCCCCTCTCCATTGCTCCCCAAACCAAACTCGGCTGCCTTCCAGAACCAGTAGCCTCTGCCCCGGACCTTCGACCTTCGAGTCTGCAAGTCTCAGGCTTCTTCTGCGTTTCATGCTCACAAGCTTGAAGTGGGCTCGAAGAGTGGGTGAAAACGTGAAAGGGAGCCGCAAAGCCTTGCCAGCGAAAGTCGACTCAGAGTGTAGCGATGACAGTTCTTGGGGCCATGGCCGAGAATCGAAGGGTCGTTTCTTGTCCAACCCAAAGCAAGAAGACCGGCATCGCAGGTGATTTCTTCGAACACATGGCGATCGTTTGGAGAAAGGCGGCCATTGCTCCGAATGCAAGCGAACCAGCCACAGCCGCACAAATGTCCCAGTGCAATCAACCCACAGCCCTTTCAGCCGCACAGTCGTGACACCTGAGGCCCCGGGCGGCACATGCCTCTTCCAGCGCGGATCGTTCATGAGCTCGTCGGGCAATCTGGCGATCGGCGGGGAACCCGGATTTCGATCAAATTCGATCTCGAAGCTGCCTTGGGTGTTTCATGGGTGCCAAAGATCTCGCGGTTCATGGTATGCTTTCGTACATCCGAAAGTGTCCAAAGGCTCTCTACATTCTAGGGGTTCCGTCCTCACGAAAAACTGATCTAGATAGACGGTCGAGGGGAGATGGAAGGTGATTCTTCAGACCGCGAAACAATCCCGATGAACCCAGTTGCAAACCTTTCAAAACTGCAAAATCACCTGTGGCTGGAGGCAGAGGGATTTGGTTTTGGGGTTTCTTTCATAGTTGAGCATCCAAAGGTTTCGCAGCAAATACCTATGCCTGTGACAGCAAAGCATAGAGTTCGCGGTCGTTGCATGGTACTTAAATCCGAAATCCTTCAGGTGCAGGGAGCCTGTCGTAGAGATGAGCAGCATCAATCTGTGTGTAGTTGCCGGCGATATGCCGCAAAGTCTCGATTGCCTCACGAAGGCGCAGCAAGTTGAATAACGGTCCGGGCGAGGGAAGGACGTCCCTGTTTAACTTTTGTTTAAAGCGATCTTTGTGGCAAGCGGCTTGCCAATAGCTTGCGCATCGATTCAGGTCTTGAGACAAGCTCAGCTAGCTCAAGTGCTACTGAGTCTGTCCTGCGAATTTGTGGGTTCGGATGCCTGTGGTGGAAATCCCAAGTAACTCGAGCTGACTCTAGTTCTCACGCTCAACATGGTTCTCAAAGTCACAGTTTTTTGCAGGGTCTGGTGGACTGAAGCCTCCTTCGAGCCGAAGTTTGGTGTCTAAGGTGCCCCGTGCCCGTCTGATCCTACGACCGGATCAGAAATGCGCCCTGAACGCCCCAGCAAGGGCCAGGATCCCAACACTTCTACACACGAGCGCACCATGGCAGCGCCTCTGAATATCCGGCGCCGCAATCGGAGGTCGGGTCCTCTTCGTTGCTTTGTGCGACGGGATGCGACGGGCGGTACTTAGAAGCTGCGGGCTCAACGGGGCGAACCGACAAGAAGTGAAGCAGACAACGAATATGCTGGCGATTCCATGGGCCTCCGTTAGAGCCAAAATTATAAGAGTTCTGCCCGGCCAAGGATTGGAAATCCAGAAAACAGGTTTTTTTTTGCATGTTGGTTTGCTTTTTTTTTTTTTTTTT